TCTCGAGTGAACTCCTCCTCATATGACACTATAACTGTTTCAGATCATGCTCCAGTAATTCTTGAACTGGTCCTTCCTGGAAGCTATTCATTTTGTACTTGGAGAATGAATGCTTTACTTTTATCTAAGAGCCATTTTGTTGAGTTTCTTTCAGAAAAGATCTCTACATTTCTTGAAATCAATTCAACGGATGGGATTTCTTCATCTTTACTTTGGGAAACACTTAAAGCATATTTACGTGGAGAAATAATATCTCACTCAGCTTATATAAAAAAGGAGTGTAATAAGAAACTTTTTAAACTTTCTGATCAAATTGGTAAATTGGACCAAATTTATGCACAACACCCAAGCACATCACTATTTAATGAAAGAATCTTTTTACAATCTGAATATAACCAACTTTCTACTGCCCAAGCTGAGCAGCTTTTGCTCAAATCACGACACCTTTTTTATGAGTTTGGTGATAAACCAGGTAAAACACTTGCACTGCAACTCAGGCTTAAAACAGCAAAAAACTTTATCACCCAAATTCAAACCCAAGAAGGCATTATTGTTTCAGACCCTCAAGAAATTAATAATACATTTAAATCTTTTTACTCTTCATTGTACCAGTCAGACTCCCTTAAAGACCCTAACATTATTAGTAGATTTTTTGACAATCTTAATATTCCTCAAATAAGTAGTGAATTAAAAGCAAAAATGGATGAACCTATCAGCTTAGATGAAATTTCAAAATCTATTGCACAAATGCAAAGCGGAAAATCTCCGGGGCCTGACGGATTTCCCACAGAGTTTTTTAAAAAGTTTTCCGCTCAGATTTCACCTTTGCTTCTCTCTGTTTTTGAAGACTCTTTAAATAGTGGTAATCTCCCTTCTTCTTTGCGCCAGGCATCAATCTCTCTTCTTTTAAAACCTGATAAAAATCCATTGGAGTGTGGGTCCTACCGTCCTATCTCTCTTCTTAATGTAGATGTAAAAATCTTGGCTAAGATTCTTGCTCTTAGATTAGAAACTGTTATCCAAGATATCATACACCCTGACCAAACCGGCTTTATTAAAAACAGGCAGGCCTTTTTTAACCTGAGGAGGTTGATGAACATAATTTACACCTCATCTGACTCCTCTGTGCCTGAGGCCTTAGTCTTACTCGACGCGGAGAAAGCTTTCGACCGCGTCGAGTGGGACTATCTATTCTACACATTAAAAAAATTTGGGTTTGGTGACAAATTTGTTTCTTGGGTGAGACTCCTATACTCTTCTCCCATGGCGTCTGTGAAAACAAACAGCAATAGTTCTGATTATTTTCCTCTTCACCGTGGCACCAGACAAGGTTGCCCACTTTCCCCTATTTTATTTGCTTTAGCTATAGAGCCTCTTGCAATTTGCTTTCGCAATAATCCTGAGATTGCTGGTATTTTCAGAGCCGGAAAAGAACAGAAAATTTCTCTTTATGCTGATGATGTGGTATTGTATATTTCAGACCCAGAAACTCGTCTCCCGTATGTTCTGGAACTTTTGAGACAGTTCAGCGACGTCTCTGGTTATAAGTTAAATCTGCATAAGAGTGAGTTTTTTCTTATAAATCCTGCTCCAAGATCCTTTCCAGTGTCAATATTGCCATTTAAATTAGCCTCAGAAAATTTTCGATATTTGGGAATAACAATAACACGAAAATATACTGATCTTTTTAAACATAATTTTGTTGTAATATTAGAGAAAACAAAACAAGATCTAGCTAAATGGAAAACTCTCCCACTTTCTCTTGTAGGCAGAATAAACACAATAAAAATGAATATCCTCCCTAAATTTCTTTTCCTCTTTCAAAGTATTCCAATTTTCATACGAAAGTCATTTTTTAAGTCCTTGGATCAAGTAATTTCGGATTTTATTTGGAACGGTGGCCCAATAAGAATACAGAAATCATTTCTTCAACAACCCAAAAAGTTAGGTGGTTTTGCACTTCCTTATTTCTTAGTCTACTATTGGGCGACTAACATCCACAGTATTTTATATTGGAGCCAGTCACACTACGGACTCTGCCACTGGGTCCCAGAATGGGTTGAAATGGAATGCGATTCTTGCACCCAAGTGTCTTTGCATGCGTTAATATGCTCTTCATTACCATTAAAGACATCAAACTATTCCTCTAACCCTATAGTACTTAATAGTCTTCGAATTTGGTCACAATTTAGAAAACATTTTGGCTTTCAAACAATGTCTAGTCTGTCTCCCATATATAAAAACCCTTCTTTCCTGCCCTCTATCTCAGACCAATCTTTTGTATCATGGTTTAGAAAAGGCATTGTAAGCATTAATGACCTTTTTTGTGATGATACATTTGTTACATTTTCTTATTTATCAGAAAAATTTAACCTTCCCAAAACTCATTTTTTTCGATATCTTCAGACACGTGAATTTATACGAAATACTTTTTCCCATTTTCCCCTTGCACCTCCCAAACAAGAAATCGATCAGGTTTTAGATACAAAAATTTGTAAAGGTGCAGTCTCTAAAATTTATAAAACAATTTTTTCATTTATTAGACAGTTAGATTCCTCATCCTTTTTAAAAATAAAGCAGAGCTGGGAATCAGATCTCAATCATGTTTTCACAGACGAGGAATGGTCCAAGGCTCTGTCTCGTGTACAAACCTCTTCTATTTGTGCTCGTCATTCCCTTATACAATTCAAATTATTGCATAGAGTATATTGGACTAAGGCAAAAATATCTAAAATTAACCCTGGTTTTGATCCAATCTGTGATCGGTGTCGACAAGCTCCAGCAACTCTTCTTCATACTTTCTGGCTTTGTCCAGCGCTAAGCACTTTTTGGGCATCAATTTTTAAATCAATTTCTGAATGCTTTCTTTTAGATATTGAGCCATGCCCCCTAGTAGCATTATTTGGACTTAACCCTACAAATGTTTCTTTGTCATCTACACAATCAAATGCACTTGCTTTTTGTTTAATAATTGCTAAAAGGCTTATAACACTAAACTGGAAAAATCCTTCCCCACCCAGTTACATACATTGGATGCATGATCTGATGCAGTCTATGCAAATAGAAAAGATTAGATATACAGTTTGCGGTGATACTGAAAAATTTGACACTATCTGGCAACCATTCCTCTTACACTTTAAAAATAAAAATAATAAATAAATAAACATGTATATATGTATGTGTATTTGTATGCAAGTATATAGCTGACTTATCTTCCCTACCCCTGGCTTGGTTATGAGTGGAGAGTGTGTTTTTTTTATTTATTTATTTTATTTTTTGTTTTTATATATATATTTTATTATTATTTTATTTTCTACTGCTGTACCCTTTGAGTATTTGTATTTATATATTCTCGGCACTGTTGTTGTTGTTGTTGTTGTTTTTTGTTTTGTTTTTTTCCTTAATGCATGAATATGTAACTATATTTTATTCAGAGAGAAAGAAAACGTGAGCAAAATTGTATTCTACCACCACATTGGATCAGTTGATGTCTAATGATTCTGTGTATCTGATGCTGTGGCTCTCTGACTAACATATTTCAATAAAAACAGAGTTAAAAAAAAAAAAAAAAAAAAAAAAAAAAAGAAAGTTAACTTAATCATATAATTCTATTTGTTTAAAGCGTAAATTGTCATTTTATACTGACATGAGATGTGTATTTTGTAAAATGTTTGCAATTAGGGCTAGTTTTTTATTGGATAATTAGAAGCACCACAATTAATTTGTGTTGTTTGAATAGACTACTGAACACAAATGTTGTTTAATTCAAACGTATTATTAACAGTGTTTAGGTAATGCATCGCAAGTAACCTGAGTTGTGTAATTACTTTTCAAGTTAGAGTATGCAGTTATTTTTAAGTAACTGTTAAAATAACATAATGTACAAGAAATAGTCTTTATCTAAGTCAATTTCCAAAATGAGTATTGCCTGGTATTTTTTTTATTCATCTGCTGACAGATGTCCCCATTAAACATAATGATTACTGTTCTAGAATTTCACTTGCACAAAATAATCAGTGTAAAGGTCATTTTTAATAGAACTACTATCTATCTATCTATCTATCTATCTATCTATCTATCTATCTATCTATCTATCTATCTATCTATCTATCTATCTATCTATCTATCTATCTATCTATCTATCTATCTATCTATCTATCTATCTATCTATCTATCATCTATCTATCTGTCTATGTGTCTATCTGTCTGTCTGTCTGCCTCTGTCCTGCCATTCAAATATCCTCTCCCATGGCCTTACGAGATAAGTGTCCGTTGTATAAACACTATAGTGAACAATATAGAAGAAGCCACCCTGATACTTTTTACCGTCAGTTAAATTGGCAAAAGCCCCAGTGAAATGTCACTAGTATATCATCACGTTTCAGGTTTGATTTGTACAGTATGTTCATGAATAGCCTACCGGCAGACTACAGATGTTAATATTGTAGCCTCCTGCGCGCGCCATGCTCCACCCCGTGTGTTTCGCTCTTTGTCCGGAACTCGGCTGCGTGCTCGCGCAGTCCTGACTCTGTGCTGAGATCTCGCCGCGCGCACAAGCGACTCTCGATTCCCACTCTGCGTCCCGACTTCACTTCAGCGCGAGAGGGTGGAAAACTTTCCCAAAACTTCTGATAGCAAATTTTGTCGCTTTTTCTTCTACACAGCGAACTGCTTCGCGGATCTTTTCAAAAGAAGAAACTGCCTTTGAAGTGCCTTGATTTTACAGCATTGAACGTGTGCGCGTGCATAGCACTGGACATAGCGCAGACTTGCTGTTGTTTTTTCTTCTTTTTTTTAAAAAGCAGAAACTAAGAGAATAAAGTCGTGACTTATTTGCTGTTTGTTACTTTTGCTCGCTTTTTATTCGGTATACACTGCGGGATTGTTTCGCTCGTTGTTCTTTTCGGAGGCCCGGTTTTTTATTACTCAAGAAAATCCAGCTCGCGAGACCCGAGCGTCTGAAAGAAGTTAAACACAGAAAGACTCCGCATCCCCATGAGGCAACCAGAAGTGCCAATCGAAGAGATTTCGTGACTGAACCTTTTGTTTTGTATTCATTTTTGGTGCTTCATTACTTAAGCAGTCAGCGATGAAGATGATCGTTGTGTTTACAGTATGTATGTCTGTGGTGGTTTTGGCGTCGGCTCAGGCTGATCAGAAGTCAAAGAACTGCAATGAAGTCAGAACTGCCTACAGTTCCAAAGGTTTCAACGTCAACGATGTTCCCAACAAAGGAGTGCAGGGTGAGTTACACTGATTTTATTTACACGAAATGCGGTACACTTGTTAAGCCTGTCAGATTCGTTTGGTAGGCTCCGTGTACTAAAAAAGCCATGTAAATACACTGTGCGTACAGTTTGGCCTGGCTACATATGTCGCTTTGTATGTCCAGAAAGCAGTGTATAAAGTTTGCAAGGTGCTTATTTCGTGTCCGCACATTTATTTAAACATCTCTATTGAAAATTATTGTGCACTCTTATTGGTCTTCATACTGTCTGCTTTTAGGATTTTATTAGGTCAGGAAGGTGACTAACACACATACTTTAGACATTACATTAGACTTTAAGAGACAGTTCTCAGAGACTGTGTATTATTTTATACCTGTAACGTTACTGCTTTTTTAACTATTCAATGTAAGGTATGTTCTGTAGGCTATAGCCCAATGTTTGCTTTAGTGACTATTTATTTGCATAATATAAAGAAAGAATGTTGGCTGCCATTCTATGCTACACAACTTAATTTTTAGGGGAAAGAATGACCGAAATTTTAAGTGTGAGCTGTCCCTTTAAGTCGCTTTCTCCATACGTTACTACACTTCGGATTGTAAGTGGGGAGTTCTTCATCTTTCAAACGGGATACAGCTCGTGATTACATTTCTATAGTTACAAATGTTTCGCACCCCCAGCTGCTGTCTTTGTTCCAAAGCGTCGTACTTTGTCATTATAAGCGAGAGTCAGTCATCGGACAGTGATTGTCATTCAGGAGCGCTAATGCTCATGTAAATGCAGTGATTTTATCAGGAGCGGCAATGGGGGCGGGGAGCGTAACAAGTTGCAGTTTTAGCTCCTCTTCAATGGGAGAACTAGCCTCAGGACACCGTTTGGATATAATCAGTGTCTTATTTCCCCTCAAGTAAAAGAGAAAGTTTTTTGTTGACCAGCGAAAGGCTTCGTCCAAGGTAGTTCAGGAAACTGAATCTACATTGTAAACATATTTAATGAAACTGACTTGATAACTCGCATGACACAATAAAAGTATGCTTTAAGAAATTTTAAGCACTATCACATGAGCCAGAGTGCTGATTTTGGCATGAGTTCGCAGGAAGTCACAGCTATGCTGATGTTCACTTTAGTAGCTGAAGTGTGCCATATTGCTGTAGTGTACAGCTAATAACAGTTACAACCTGGTCAGTTCACCCATTTGTTAGGGTTCCCATTATAAGGGCCAGGCAGAATCTGCAGACATTTTTTGCTTTTTCTGTGAAGAATTTTGAACAAAAAAAAAAAAAATAATAATAATAATAGCTTTTTAACTTTTTTCATGTTTACAATGCTAATCCATGTAGATCAACTTATTTGCTAAACAATACAGTTTGTAAAGTAATATCTGCTGTCTTTTAGTAGATCTATTATATGATAGACTTTATCATATAATAGATCTACTAAAAGACAGAAGACATTACTTTACAAACTGTATTGTAAATAAATTAAATGAAAATTTTCACATTAGTCAATAATATTACTGAAATAATTAAAAACTGAATTAGTATAAATATACACACATTTACACAATTAAATAAATATCTGCGGAATTCTGCTGATTTCTGTGCACACAGATTTCATGTGTGTCTACCCATCAGTACAGACAAAAAAACTGGACTGGACCGAAAAGAAAATTATATACTTAGTCCTGCATTCACACTGTACTTTTTTAGACCAAACTTAGATGCAGGGTGCCTTTGGAAGCTGACTGAGACCAATCTTTAGAGGTCTTGGTCGTCTTGTTTGTTGCACACCTAGGTAAAGTTAATAGCATTCACAATTATTCAGAGCAATCACTTCAGAGTTTTTGATCAAACCAAACACACCATGAAAGAGCCATGTGTGGAGCAGTGTGGCTGCTCTCTCCTACATCACAATAGTTTTTTATACGTTATAAAAATTCCTTATCATTGTTACAGTATGATTTGACTTAAGATGGGCCCATGATTAATAAGTGTTGGAATATTTTGTGTCTATTTTGCACAAGAAGTTACAGTTTTATGAAGTACTGCAACCATGCAAACTTTTCCCAATACTGGAAGGGCATCTGCTGCGTAAAGCATGTGCTGAAATAGTTTTCGGTTCATTCTGCTGTGGTGGCTCCTGATAAATAAGGTAGTAAGCCAATAAGCAAATGAATGAATGGACTTTTTACAAGTTTGTGTGTAAGAATTGGGACAAACACAAAATAAACTTAAAAATGTGCATGTATAAGCACACACAGAGTGAAGGTCACCAATTGTCCTATCTTTTATTCATATTACAGCTTGTTTATATACTATATATATAATTTTTTTTGTCATGTTAAACGTAAAATACTAAAAAGTGTCTTTATTAGATACCTATCACTCACATGCTCTCTAATACAATAATCAGTGACACAAACTGAATATCTAGACACCTAAACTTTAAATCAAATTCGAGCACCAGAATAAGCTGTTGTGTAATACTTGTTTTTGTGATTCTTGATGATTAACCCGGCTACATGCATGACTGCAGCTAGGTGAAGAGGAACAACTGTGAACCCTAATTTTCCTTGTTCTTTCCACTAGTCCAACAAGTCTATTGTCTTCCCTGAGTTGTCATTGTAATGCAAACTTTAAGTGTTCCCCAACATGCCTGCATTTGTCATGTTTTTTGTGTCAAATCTCCGGTTTTGTTGTGATGCTTTAAAGTATAAACACTGAAATCTCATTTAGAGGGTATGTTTGGGTGCCATGCGCGTGTGCCTCTTACAATGGTACACAATATGCGTCTGGGCCCTGTGCAAGGCTAACCTTAGTTAGCATGCTTTTGTCAATAAGAGACTGAGATAATTGATACAGAGAAAGTGACAAGGTCTGCTGTCGCTGAGGGGTGGAGGTCCTTAGAAAGCCAAAAAAGGAAGCACAAAAAGCCCTGCTTTGGCTTAACAATGTCTCCTGTTGCTGGGGAGAAAATGTCCACAGGAGAACCTAATTGAACTGGTAGTGGCCCCCCTCGATTTAGCTTTCAGAGCTGGCCCTCTTCACCTTGTAGTCAAAACATGTCTTATTTATTCTTCTGTAGTTCCAAAACACAATTCCATGGTTTTTAGTATGCCATATTGTTTTAGAGAATGGTCAAAAACATCCCTTACATGCCAGTTTTCAACATTCCTGCAATTAATCAGAAATTTTATTATTAATATACGTTTGTTCCTGGTAATAATTTCACCCCATCTGTAAAAAAAAAAAAAGTGTAATTTTAACCAGCACAGAGTAGCCTATTTGAGCATTTCAGTTGAGCAGTGCAAATATAATGTACATTTTATTGCATTTTCTGTTCATAAAATGGCTACGATATCTAGTAGGATTGTTTAATCTTGTGTGCATTACATTTAAACTGCAGATTCAGTCATTATAATGCAAAAAACAAAATACTTCATCATTTTTGGCCATACTGGTCTGTCAACATTTAAAATCATAAATGAATTGGTTTTATTTGTATAGTCATATAGTAAAAAACACAACATGACTATATGACATGAAGCAAGCCCACAAACTGTGCTCTGTCTTTTAGCCTGTTTCTTCTAGCCTGTGGTAACTAAATCGTTCTGAATGTTCTTGCTCTATTCTGCTATAAGCATCCCAGCAAGCATTAGACAGACTTTATGTTTAGTTATTAATTTCTGTTTATTTAATGGCTATCACTGAAAAAAATTGTTCAAAGATGACTCCTTGGATTTACAAATTTTTTTTACGTTAAGTGTTTATTTATTTTTTACAGTTTATTTGGGCTGAATTTAAACACAAATTAAGTTGAACATTATTAAATGTAATTTGTTTGTTTAAATTCAACACAAATAATTCAACGCAATAATTCTGCATGCAACACTTTTTTCAGTTGTTTTGGCCTATTCTTAGACGTCTATTAGATTTTCAATGACAGCCCAAATTTAGCCTTGTTTTAGCCAAACTTTCTATATTTAGATGTCTGTTAGACGCCTATTAAAGTGAATTTTCAATGTATATTTTGTACTTTAGGCTACATTTAAAAGTGCTTAGAATTTTTTTGTATCTGAATGATTGTGTCAGTGTTATCTCTGAGGGAATGATGGGTGTTTCTGTTCTTCATTGCTGCACATTTCAGAGCAGAATAGAACCGTGAATAAACATAGAAACACTATTTCTGGATGTATTGTGGTTTTCCTCCTTTATTATCAACACATGGATTTAGAGCCGCCTGCTTTAGTAGCACAGCTGGTCACCATGTCTGTCTGTCTTATTTCACCTCTCACTTTTTGCATCTAAAACCTACCAAAAAGATCTACCAATACCTTAGAAAACCTGGAATCAGATTGTTAATTATCTGAACACTATATAGGTTTGGGATGGAATAATAAATGGCTGATACAACTGATGATGATGTTCTTGGTAAGCTGAGCTATCCCTTTAAGTTTAGCTTCTTATAGCTTCTAGCTATTTGTCCAGCAGATGTGACTAATGTATGATAATGATGAGTTACTTAAATACTTGACTAGAACCTTTGACCCTTTAAGCATAAATATTTTAAAGACTAATTATGTCCTTAAAGTCAGGTCAGAAGCCAGGTAGTGCAAGTCTACATTCGTATATCAACATTTGTGGGGTGCCATGGTGTAATGTTTAGGAATCTAGGGAAAAAAGTTTGCTGGAACCTCTTTATCCTACCATTTAGCTGTACTCTGTTGAAGATTGTGGTGTGAAATTGGTCTTAGGAAGTTTCTGTGTGTTCTCTGCTGGATAAGCATGGTTTTGTAAGGAGCTTTTGCTTAGGGAGAAGTAAGATCCTTCTTTGTGGTTAGAGTTCTTCTCTAGATCCTCTCAGTTTGAGGGGGCTGGATTATTGCTCTTTAGTAGCTTCATAGTTCTTTAAGCTCTGGGGTACATAGATTCCTGCTGAGGACTAAACCGCCTGTATCATCCAATCCTCAGCAAAACCAAAAGCACTGCATAGCTTTCTCATGAAAAGCCTTGCTACTT